TGCTGCTGCTGCTGCTGCTGCTGCAGCTGCTGCTGCTGCTGCTGCAGCAGCAACGTGCCCACCAAGTGCAGCTTCTGCGCCTTCGCTCCCAACTCCCGTCGAAGCTCGCTGATATCACAACACCCTAAACCCTAAACCCTAAACCCTAAACCCTCGCTCCCTGGACGTGTGAGGGTTCCGAGTGGACCATTTTGCTCAGAAAAAGAAAAGAAAGCTTTCAAAGCCGCACTCTCTCCCTAAACCCTAAACCCTAAACCCTAAACCCTCGCTCACTGGAAGTGGGGGGGGTCTAAATGGAGCTTTTTGTTCAAAAAGAGAGAAAAGAAAGATTTGGGAACTTTGAAAAGTCCCACTCCTCCAAAACAACTCGAGGGGATACACCCGAGCAAAGACAAGAGGGCCATCAGGTAAGTGCTGTAGCTGGCGTTCAGCGAAACTTGCTGCTCGCTGCTGCTGCTGCTGCTGCTGCTGCTGCTGCTGCTGCTGTTGCTGCTGCTGCTGGGGGGCGGGGAAGAGGAAGGCATCAGGGTTTCGCAGATGCGCCGCATCCAGTCGGGCTGGTCTGCAGCGGCACAGGCTGGCGAGGGTTTAGGGTTTAGGGTTTAGGGTTTAGGGTTTGAGAAGGGGTGCGGCTTCTCAGCCCCTCGGTTAAAGCCTAGGGCTGGGAGCCTAGGGTTTAGGGTTTGGGGTTTGGAGGCTGTCGCCTCGGGCCTGGGAAGCGGGAGAAAGCCCCGGAAACCGCAACTAGGGTTTAGGGTTTAGGGTTTAGGGTTTAGGGTTTACTGGCTGCGTTGACTTGGGCGCAGACGTCAGGGTCGAGCTTGAGGTGCAGCGAACGCAGGAAGAAGTAGCAGATGCAGCAAAGTGCAGCAGCAGCAGCAACAAACCCTGCAGTGAGGGTTAGGGCTTGGCGAAAGGGTTTAGGGTTTAGGGTTTTGGAAAGCCGAGGGTCTGAGTCTGCTTCGTAGTAGAAAGCAGCGAAGGGGAAAACGAAGAAAAGAAATAAAAACAAAAACCAGTAAATGCACTGCCAGTAAACCCGCATGTCCAGCCCTGAAACGCAAACCCTAAACCCTAAACCCTAAACCCTAAACCCTGCGTTTCGCAGCCGCTGTGTGCGTTGAAAGGCTTCTGCTGCTTCCCCGGACTCCGCTGTCTGCAGCCCTGAAAACCTTCACTGGGGTTTAGGGTTTAGGTTTAGCGCGCAGGCCTGCGTGCGTTTCTAGGGTTTAGGGTTTAGGGTTTAGGGTTTAGGGTTTGCCTGCTGTGGCCCCCGGCTTGCTGAGGGGAGAAGCCAAGTTGTACACATCCAGCGGCAGCCCCAGCAGCAGCAGCCACACCAGCTGCATGCCCAGCAGCACCGCCGCTTTTGCTGCTGCTTCCTGCAGCAGCAGCAGCGCAGCAGCAGCAGCGCAGCAGCAGCAGTGCAACAGCAGACAGGTAGCTAGCCAGCTAGCTACCTATCTAGCTAGCTAGCTAGCTACCTACCTACCTAGCTCCCTTGCTACCTAGCTAGCTAGTTAGCCACCCACATGGCTAGCTAGCTAGCTAGTTAGCCACATCTATGGCTAGCTAGCTAGCTAGCTAGCTGTATAGTAGCTAGCTAGCTAGCTATACACTAGCTAGCTAGCTATGTACTAGCTAGCTAGCTAGCTATACAGTAGCTAGCTGGCTAGCTAGCTAGCTAGCTATATACTAGCTAGCTAGCTAGCTATGCACTAGCTAGCTAGCTAGCTATGTACTGGCTAGCTAGCTAGCTATACAGTAGCTAGCTGGCTAGCTAGCTAGCTAGCTAGCTAGCTGGGGCACCTGGGGTGAGAGGCCGCTGTCGTCCTGGTGTTCGTAGTAATAAAGAAGCCGCAAGTCGACGAAGAGGAAAATAAAAAAGTAAAATAAAATGAACAGCAGCAGCACCCAGTCCATCCCTGCAGCACGCTAACAACACAAACCTAGCTAGCTAGCTAGCTAGCTAGCTAACGGGGTAGCTGGGTAGCTAGCTAGCTAGCTGGGTAGCTAGCTAGCTATCTCGGTAGCTAGCTAGCTAGCTAGCTAGGTAGCTAGCTAGCTAGCTAGCTGGCTAGCCAGTGATTTGCTAGCCAGGCAGCTACCTAGCTGGCTAGCTAGCTGGCTAGCTAGCTGGCTAGCTAGCTGGCTGGCTAGCTGGCTAGCTAGCTGGCTGGCTAGCTG